CTGATTTTTTCAGAAAAGAATAAAGTGTTGATAGGGAAATCATTTTAAAATTTTTGAATTGCATTATTTTGTATTTCTTGTGATTCGAAACCCACACTTTTTAGATTAATAGGTAGTATTCCCGTTTTTTTAGTTCGAAAATAGCAAATTTTATAGCTACTGAAACTCCTGAGCTTTCATTTTAAAAAGTGGTAACAATATGCGTGTGAATTGCTTAAAAAAGTTGAAATTCAATGGTTTTGACTACCACGACATATAAATAAATTTAAAGTGCCAAATACATTCTTAAAAAATATTAAGTGATTACATCGTAAAAATAATTCTTGCTTACAATTGTAAAATCAATTGTTGTACCACTACAGAAAGAAACTTAACCAGTAAGTGTGAAAAAAATCTTTTTTTGAATATTAAAAATTTTTAGTTACATCATTGAAACTGATAACCCCAATCTTAGTAATTATTATCTTATTAATTGCTATTCTTTACTCATTAATTTTTAACCCTTTTTCGCCAACTGTCATAAATGCTTGCCAGATGAAACGTTATCAATCAGGAGGAAAAGATAAAACAGGTAACCAAAGTAGCTCTTTAGCAATTTATTTGTGAGTGGAGTTATAATAAATTGATTCATTTAATCAGAAATGCTAACTTGCTCCGGACAGCAAATATATAAAGTGGTAGTTTATCAATTGTGATTCTTGGTTTAATGAATTTAATTTAGTAGATTTTTATCCACCACTATTTCTAAATAATTCGTAGGCTTATATAATTCACCACTTATTAGTTAGTACACATGTCATGCTATACCTTTTAAGAAGCAAGCAAAAATAGTCAAATATTTACAAAATTTACTTTGTAATTATTTACCGTTCTTTTAATTATTTTGGGAGTCTGGAGTCAGTTGGTACCTCTGTTTAATTCATCATCACTTAGTTCAAAAGAAAAATTATATTGTTAAAAAATGAAAATGACAAATTTTTAATCATGAGCATTGAAAACTTTCCCCTCTTTAGCTTTCTCTTCATTTTCACGATAGAAAATAATTTATCAAAATTACATATTTATTCAATATAAATAATTTGGTAGTATGCCAGAAATAAATGATATAAACCAAAAAAATTGTCCCTACCATTTGTCTTATTGTAATATTGTCTTGCAAAAAATCAATTTAAAAAACAATTAAGTTTAATATTAAAAATATATTTATTTCAAATCTTGTTTCTCATTCAAGTGAAAACAATATTGCCACACCCTTAAAATATCTACCTGCCTTTTCCTCTGTTCTGCAATGCAGAAACGGTGCGATGACTTTAAATGAATTTTTCAATAGCGCACTCAGTTGGCAATGTTTCCATTATTTTTTGGCACTTAAAACTAGTGTCTACGTATACGAAATATGACGTTTGGCATTAAAAAAAAAAAGATTTTTAAGTCATTGAAATATCCTTTTAGAATAAATTCTCGAAAAATCTTCGCGTGTGGCCACATGATTCAATTATAAATCAATTTATTTGAAAGTGACGAAATTATTATTTTATTTTATCCTCAATTTCCGGAAAAAGTCCGGAGTGTACGTTATAGGGTTAATAGTGATTTAAATTATAAGGTATAAAAAATGCTTATGTCTCATCAGTCAACGAAATTTCGTATCCTAAAAAACAGAATTTAGAACATATTTTAATTAGTGATGTAATCATTCCAATCAGTGAGACCAAAACTTCAATACAATAAAACCTGTTCAAGTTGAAAATTGACCACTTGCGGTGCATTTCTTTACCTACTTGCAGTGCATTGCTTTAGCTCAGGGGTTTCCAACTTACATGAGGCCGGGGGCCGCAATTAAAAACACCAATCAAATGGCGGGCCACAACTTTATCAAAATTTTATATAGAACTCTTTTATGTTTGAAGGAACATTAAATATTGCTGTCAGATATTTATAAAAGTTATATTACAAATAATGCTTGTTACGTATCATTTTGAATCTTCTTTTAATCTGAAACTTAGTGACAAGATTTTTTTTTACTTTCAAATTTAATTCTGTAATAAATTAACATTTTTCGACTTATTAGGAATTATAGCAACAACTAAAAATTTCTCAAGCATCTGAAATTAATTTTTTTTTTCCTTTGCGCTCATGTGATATTCAATTCAAAGAATTTAGATAAAACATGATAATCATTCCCTCTTTTATGCACTTTAAAATTTACAAATATAAATAGTTTCGTCCAAAATGAGTGGTTTCAAAAAGATAAATTGGAGAATTTCTGAAACACACATGTTAAATTATGTTCACAAAATTAAAAAAAAAGGAAATAAAAGAAGAGAGCAACATACACGATTATTTTTGTATTTGAATAAATATTTTCTTGGATGCAAAACCTGAGAAATAAATTTTTTTGCACCGTTGGTATGTTAAATTTCACAGATGACAAAAAAAATTAGTTTTTTTTTTTTTAAACGTGAAAAGTATTTTAAGCCTTTATAGATCTTTTACGAAAATTGTCCGCTATGAAAACTAATATATTTTAGCTCGCGGGCCACAAAAAAAGGCTTCGAGGGCCGGATGCGGGCCGCCAGTTGGAAACCCCTGCAGCTCTTTATTTTAATCAATAGATTATTAACTTAAATTTTATTTTATAACCGTCGTTGAACAGCCGACCCAATTTTGGGTTAACGACTACAGATGTTCAACTCCGTAGCCTTGTAATTTTGAACCTAATTCTGAACACAAGGGATCTAGTATTGGGAAAAATTTGCCTTCGGGAGGACTTCTTTTGATGGAACTAACCAGCATTTGCGTTAAATGGTGAGGAAAAACATGAAAACCTCTCACGGTTAGCTTGACGTATAGGGACTTCTAACCCATGATCCGTCTACCACCGAGGATATTTTACGTCGGTGCGAGCCGGGTGCGGAATTCGAATTGACCAATCATCGCTGGGATTCGAACCCGGTTCTCCTATTTGGAAGGTGGGCGATCTACCTCCTAAGCCACCACGGCTCAACCTAAATGTTATACAATTTGATATTAATTTCACTTCCTGGTCAGCCGCCAACTGTCTCAACTCTTTCACTGTTTATATGCCAATTAATCTCAGTTGCTCTAGGGCTCAATCCAGATTAAAAAGTAGAGTGTCCATTTCGCGGACAAGGACTCAGAATCACCACATATGCATGCATTCGCCACATATTCTTTGCATTCACTTTCCATAGCAAACTGAAAACAATATGCTAGAAAAGGTGACAATTTTAGTCTAGTTTATTGAAGTTTTGAATTTTATTAGTCACCACATTTTGTATTTTTAGTAGCCCGTGGCTACTAAAAATACGGCTACTAGTGGCTTGTAATATTTATTAAATTTGTGTTGCCAAATTGGTGACACAGCACTGAAAAAATTATTTTTCAAAAGTTGTTTTGTGACAAGTATAATATTTTTCGATAGGTTATATACTGATATTTTAAGATTACAGTGGTAGTTAAAACAAAACAATTTTATTAACATTTGTTATAAATTTGCGAGTGCTTTTCATACTTTCAGCAGATGAAATTATAAGTTATCCTGGGTCTAATTTTGGTACAGTTTAGCATATACCTATATCTAATTTATTTTATTTCTTGGATATCACCATGAATAATTTGCATTAATTATCTTTGTTTCATAAGTGGAAAATATTTAATTATTAATCTGAATTTTTAAAATAACAAGGTGACTACAGCTCGACCCGCCCATCAACCTTCGCATTCATCATTATTTTTTTCTTAATAGTCGTTATTTACACGAAAAAAGGATCATTTTGATAGTATGTTATTATAATTCTATGTACGAACATTTTGTTAATATGTTTATCGCAACGAAATGAATGGTTATTTGGATTTGAAAAATAATCAACTGTTCTTGGAATAAAAATTTTAGCTTAGGATTACAAAAGGTGTGACACAATCAGAAGAAATAAATGACTTGTAATTTTACTCGTTAACGATGTTTTTATCATGAAAAAAGTTTGAATAGGAAACGGTTTTGACCGCTCTTGTATTAAGTTTTAGTGATTTTGAGAATTTTAATATAATTTTTAAGCTTTGTGTATAGCAACATCTAATTTCTCTATATTTTTCTTTACTTTTTATTTATTTACTTAATATTAATTTTGCAGCAACTCTATTGACACAGAATTTGACGGCAACTCTGCCGCAAGAAAATAAATAATTAAAAATTACAAATTTTTTAAACAAACTTCTATTTTGAAAAAAAAAAAGCTTGAAGTCAAAAGTTTTGGAAGAAATTTAAAAGTTAAAATGGTTAAGCACGTTAAGATTCAAGTATGTTGTTGCATTTGTGCGGTCTTCAGAAAGGTCAAACATAGTCTTATTTTAAAGCTACTTTAACATTTAATAAATCTCGAACTAATTATGGAGCGTTATTTATTTTTTAAATCCATCATACTCTAGTATACATTTCAGCACACCATCTCAATTTCATGTTTCTTAGTTTTTGCGAAGCAAAACAAAATTATCGTAAATTATTTATTTTTTATTTATTGTTTATTTTGTATTATTGCGGTATATATTTCACCACACCTTCGCAACTTCACGTTCCTTAGATTTTGCGAAGAAAAACAAAATTATCGTTAATTTGTGCAATCCATGAAGTTTATCACCCAGCGGCTCTTCTTACGGTATTCAATATAGAGAGATAATACATTAAACAATATTTCACTTTTATTTTTCTTAAAGTTTTCTTGAAATTTATTCTTATATATTCTAATAAAAACAAATTGGGGTAAAGAGATTAAAATCTTCCTAATTCCAATTTCCACTAATGCACAAAAAAGCACTTAAAATCTTCTGCACGTTTAACCTCATAAAACAACTGCCAAGCGACGGAACTTTCTTGGTAGATATTAATGTTTTCATTTAATATTTATTCTGTTGTGAGGAGCCAAAAAGTGAGTCATCCGTCTGTCGTATTATTCCGCAGAGTATCCTTCCAGGACTACAATTGATCCATTTCGAGCATGCGCATTGAGTGCATTACCTAATTGGTGCTACTGTGCTCAAAGATGCGGTGGAAAAACTGCATCGTGTGATTCAGGTCTAGGGCGAGGCAACGTAACACGTCTTGCTTATTGACTCAGAACATTCCTTCTGTTAAGGTTAGTATAAAATGGCATTTCTGACAACTTTTTTCTAATTTCATAAGTATTTTAATTTTAGTATGTCTAAATATTTACTAAATAAATATTTTTAAAAATACAAATCGAGATAATTAAGTAATTTTTGAAAAATTATTATAAATTCTATAAGAATTGCTAAGATTCTGTTCCAGAACATCTGTTCTTGCATTCATATTTTTTAAAACAAATATAATTTGTCTATTTTTTTTTTTGTAAAAAACTTTCGAATTGAAGAAATATTGGTTGATAATTCCAATTTTAATAATTCTTCTAAAGGAAATTTGAATTCTCATAAAATGAACAATTGTATTATAATAAAGTATGCAAAGCAATTTTAAATCTTTAATCTTATGCCATCATTATTTATTTAACTTAACAAATAAAATGGACTTTCTTTTAATTCAGGAATTCATTAAAAAGTATATATCTTTCAATGTGCAAGTTTGTAAGTGGTAGACACATCTTTTTAATATATGTAGTAGTATAGTTGCCAACCTATACGTTTCATAGTTTGAATTTTTTTTTATTCGTGTTGAAAAATTTGTAAATGATGATTTTTTAAAATGAACAATTCAATGATAAATAACTTTTCTCTTAGATCTAAATAAATTATAATTTGGAAGAGACGTGTTTGGAATATTTCACATTTAACTTAGAAGAAGTGGTCACCATTTTTTCGCTCTGCGTTTTATAACTATAAATTATTAAAATGCTAAATATAATATTTTTCACTTATTTTAATCTAAATTAGTAAGAAATTATTCTAATTATTTAAGATATAAAAAATATGATTAATAAAAATTCTGCTTCAAAAGGTTAATAAATGTAATTTAAAAATATTTTGCCAATTAAATATATACATACTTCAGAGACAAATTTATAAAAACTTGATAGTTGCACGATAAGTGCTAGCTTAATTTAAAAATAAGAAAAAAATATTTTATTGCTTTTTACTACTATTTTAAATACTAAAGGAAAATGTTCCAATGGCATTGAAATAAAAAGCATTTCGCAATCACTCCTTCTACGATCTTTCTTTCAACATTTTCTTTTTATTCTTCTAACTTTTACGTCTGTATTTCCGTTGTTAATAAAACAATATTTCACATGAAGCCATAAAAGAGTTTTTTGTTAACTAGTAGAGCGGCGCGCAACATAATTTTTGAGTAAATAAGCATTTGTCTGAGTGTTTAGATATGATTCATACCCTCCAACTACTACGGAATTTCCGTAGTTTAAGAAAATATATTTCCTTGAGGTTAAGAATTAATATTTTAATTAAATAGAATTAAACCTTTTGACGCAAATGGGTCACCGTAATTCCTTATATAAATTTTTTTCTGACGCTCTTTCTACTAGAAAAAATTACTTTTGGTATTTTTAAATTGCAAAAAACAGTCTTAAAAAATCTGTTAGATCTGTAGAACTATATTTGAAATGTTCCGATGGCATTGAAATAAAAAGCATTTCGCAATCACGCTTTCTACGATCTTTCTTTCAAAATTTTCTTTTTATTCCCCAAACTTTTACGTCTGTATTTCCGTTGTTAATAAAACAATATTTCACATGAAGCCATAAAAGAGTTTTTTGTTAACTAGTAGAGCGGCGCGCAACATAATTTTTGAGTAAATAAGCATTTGTCTGAGTGTTTAGATATGATATACCCTTAAACTACTACAGAATCTCCATAGTTTAAGAAAATATATTTCCTAGAGTTTAAGAATTAATATTTTAATTAAATAGGATTAAACCTTTTGACGCAAATGAGTCACCGTTATTCCTTTTATATATTTTTTTTTCTGACGTTCTTACTACTAGAAAAAATTACTTTTGGTATTTTTCAATTGTAAAAAACAGTCTTAAAAATCTGTTAGATTATATGAACTATTATATGAAACCGGTGTTTAATGCCGTATTTCATAAACCTATATTATTAAAATATTTAATACAATATTTTTTACTTATTTTGACCTTAATTAATACAAAATAATGAAAAATTTGCTTAAGAAAAATTCTGCATCAAAGCGTTAAGAAATTTATTTGTATACCATAAATTTGTATATAAATAAATTATTTAAAAATATGTATAGAATACCAGGTAGACAAACGGCTATATTTTTAGGTTTTAATAAAAAAAAAAAAAATATTAATAAGCTTTGTGTATATTAAAAATTCTCACCATAGTTCACTACCACTAGATAAAATAATTCGCAAGAATATCAAATATTGAAAGGTGTGCAATATTTTAATACTTTCGAAAGAATCTGGTAATTGAAATTTTTGGCCAGATTTTTTAAAATTTCTAGCTGTAGCTATTGAAATATTTATTCATTTATTTACACTTAATTTTACTGCTGTTGCTTTACAGATTTTAATTATTTGATACTGGTTCAGAACATCTAATTTTAAAAAATAAAATTTTCATTATATTCTAAAAAAAAGAAACAACTGTACTCAATTTTTTATTTATTTATTTATGTTGTTTTCCCCCGATCAGTAATAGTATAGGCAAGCAAATTTGCCCCATATTGTTCTAATCATAGATGAATGGATTAGAACTTTCGGTCTGATATCCAGTAACTAGTACAGATCAATTTGTATCAATCACCAAAATGTATTTGTAAAATTGTATATTTTGATCTCAGTTATACATTTGCTATATTTTTAATCACCCAAGTGGTAGTCACATCGGAACCCAGTAACTTAAGGAAGAAATTTCATAATAATATTACATTTATTTTGAAAATAATCACTATGTTGTTTCAAAAATATTTAAAGAATGATTGGAGAATGAAATTTTTTAATCGTTTAATTACATTAATGCTATCCCCAGTAATGTCTTTACGCATGGGCACACCCGGGCAGTGCCCGAGGCTCAGGCACTCAGGGTCCCTTGTGAATCTCACTTTTTATAAATTATACTTAGAAAAACTAGAAATAAACAAAATTGCCATACATTTTTTTAAAAATAAATATATTCCATTGTATAAAGTGCATTTTGTTATTCTTTCTATACATAGTGATCGATTATCATGCAAACAACAATAATTTGAATAGTTTATCACCGGGAAAACTTAAAAAGTCAACCGAAATCTATTTTTATACATTCCAATGAAGTTTTTATGTGGATTCAATCTTTTGGGGAAATCAAAATGTATTTAAAATTGTTTAAATTATTGCATGTGTTAAAAATTCTTTATTTTATGCATGTGAAGTTCGATTTTAAACAGTATACAATGTTATAAGGGCCCAAAAAATTTCTGTGCTCGGGGGCTATCCCTGTTGCAAGTTAAGAAGAGACCATTACTCCAATGGAGAAGAGCCTGCTTGCATCTAAATGGATGCCAAGCTCCAAACGCGAACGAATATCAACATCGCCAATTCTTGAAACAACGTAGCGCAGTCTTCTTTTTGCTTATAAAAAATAATTTTTGTCCGACGAGTTTAACTTTTAAAAACTTTTATATTGTTTTGAAAGCATAATTTTATAATTTGATAGCTGAATAAAACAGAACTATATGCCGTCGCGGATGATTACTGAAATCCTACACGCAATGGTCTTCAACGGAGTCATAAAGTTGGGTTTTATACAAGACAGTCGAATTTACAGTTAGCGGGTATTAATTAGTATATTTGTGGGTAGCCCTTATAAAATCATTCAGATATCTCACGTTAATACTTAAATGTTAAATTTTTGTTTACTTTTGATTAGATGATTGTAGCGTGAGTTTTTTATTTTTTATTTCTTCTTATTATTTTTATGCGCTTGAGTTTAGTTGATTTTTCTTGCGTGCGAGAAAAAAGTAGGTCGAGTTTTTACTCTTAAGAAATTTTTTAGCCACTTATGTTTTCGTTTCGTATTCCCATTAAGTGTGGAAAATCTTGGGTCACATAATTATATGATCATCTATGCTATACTTTGTATTTAATTTTTAATGTCACGCAAATGGCATTTTGAGTTCATTTACGCTTACACGCAATGCCTCATGAGTTTCTTGCTTAATGTTTTTTTTTTCTTTCAAACTCAGATTGAAATGAATGGTCCATCTTGTTTAAAAAAATTTATTAATTAAAAGCAGACACTGACAAGTTTTTATTCGAAAACACTCCCTCAGACTTCTAAACAAGTTTTTCTTCTTTTTTTGCTTTGATTAACAATAGAAGATACAAAAACTTTAACCTTCAGATACTCCAGGCAGAAAATAAAATGTGTACATTAGAAGAAAGTAAACTATGTAAAACTTAATTAACCTTTTCTGATTATTTTTAAGTATAAAATATTATGAATTAAAAATTTTTACTCCATAAACTACCTCTACGAATAAAATCGAAAACCTCTATTTTAAATTACAAGAAATTATTAAAAGTATATATTTTTTCAATCGAAGACAGAAAATTTCTTTAGTTCTAAGCTCATTATAATTTTTTGTGAAGCTCATCAGTTTATTACTGCTACATTTTTCAAAATATAATATCTTCACATTTTATTTTTTCCCTTGTGCTTAATGTTTCAATTTAAATTTTTTCTAGCTGCCTGAATGAGGTTACTCTTTGGCAGTACAAATCTAAATTTCTTCTTGTTTTTATTGTGTTCTTGTATTAATGTGTTTTTGTTTAATTTGATTAGAGGAAATTGCGTGTTTTGGTTATTTTTTACAAGCATTTTTTGGTTGTTCTAAATGAAATTATTGATTATTTTTTAGCTTTTTTTTTTTGAAAATTATAGAGTGTTTTCATAGTGTATTTCTTCACATTTTCGTTATGAAATAAAATCTATTAAAGTCACATGAATGAGATATTTTTGAACTGTCTCAAAAACTGTTCAGGTTCTTGTCGGAATCGAATTTTTTAGTTTCTAATAATATTTAATTGTGATTAAAACTCCAACCTTTGATACATACAGTGTATCTTCGCACCTGGGAAATCATGAGAAATCATTGAAAGTCATAAATTTTTGATATTGAACAAAATTTGTCATG